CCTGAGGTAAGATGTAATGTAAAAAAGACAAAGTGGAAGTAACGGCTGAAGGAAGCAACAGAGTCTACTACATGACGCTATAATGAGAATATTTGCCTTCATGTCAATGCTATGTGTAGTTCAACAGAATCACACCATCAACTAAAGAGTGGAGAACAACATACTGATGAACAGAAAACATAATGCAGCCGTTTGATAGCAGTCACAGGATATAAATGTCTTCAGTGTTTTTATATCTCAAACCTTACAGTTTTCATTTCTCTACTACATGTATTTACTTTTATTAAACGTCATTTAGAGGTTCCTAAGTGGGTTTTTTTTATGTTTAATACGTCCTACGACCAACTCATTAACAGATTCATTGTGAAATCTGACTTTATGGCACTCCGACTCAGAGTTTTGTGCAGCCGTGCTTTCCCACCCAGGATTTAAAACAGGGATCAGCTGAGCTTGCTGGACCATGTGGACCCCGATTGATGTCAAAGCTGGCATTAAACCAGGGCCCTGGGCCCCACAGGGAGGGTCTCAGCAGGGTCAAGAACTCAGGCCTTTTTCCTTCCTGTTCGTCTATGACATCTTCCTGCCCGGGGTGGCCTCTGGGAGCCATTAGAGCAGGCCTCTGCCGGCCCTCAGTGCTGCAGGATAACCTCACGCAGCAGCTTCTCATTAGGCCTCGGCTCTGACAGGTGGAGAGAAAACTTTTGTGCAAGTGTGCAGTTATTTGTGCTGCCCCGGAGGACTGTGAGAGTACTAAGATTTCTTCCAGAGGGGTGTACCTCTGAACATCCCTTCAGGGGTGATTTAAAGGATTTGGTTTAGTCATAACTGAGTTGTCAAAGCGTTAAAATGTGATATAAATCTCCTGGTTGGCTGTGAGTCAAGTGTTGCACCACAAAACGTGTAGTTAAATGTACTGCAAGGAGTTCGTAACTGGTGAAACAGCCTTATTTAAAACTGATTCCTGTATAAGACATCCAAAGTGAGATCATCAGGTACAACTTTTTAAAATACAGTTATTTGAATGTCTGTCAGCCCAGACTGTCAGATTATGTGTGACTGTTTCACAGCATTCACACAAAAAGGGTTTTATTTCACATCTTTTCTGGCAAAATGAAGTCATAATGAGTTTAAAGTTTCTTCACAGTCGGTCATTCTTTAAAATGAAGCAGGACGAGTTTTTGTTGTGTTTTTCATGTCGGAGAATGTTAGACATGCATGTACAGTACAGACGAGGATCAACAGAAAGATACGAAACAAGAGCTATGAACGTAAGCTGCTTTGCTTTTACAAAACTTAATTTCAATGAAATACAGAGGCCTAAGGCAGGCTTTCCCAACCTTGGGGTCCCGACACCACTTGGGGTCGCATGAAGTTTTTATTCAATTATCAATACAAAAACATGGTGGCGCTGGTGGCACAGTGGTTAGTGCGAGCACCCCATGTATAGAGGCTGTAGTCTTCCAAGCGTGCGGCGCAGGTTCAAATCCGGCCTGTGGCTTCTTTCCTGCATTTCATTCCCTACTCTCTCTCTCTCCCTGGTTTCCAACTCTATCCACTGTCCTATCTCTCCATTAAATGCACAAAAGGCCCAAAAATACATCTTTAAAAAATATATATGTTGTATATTTTAATGATCACATAAAAGTTTCAACATGGAGACCCCGGTTACAGCTGTACTCTGCTGAGGGGCGTGTCTAGACTAGTTTGACTTGGGTATCAAGTCATTATCAATATTTTGCGCCACAAAAAATGGTTCAGTTAGTTCACCGCAAGTAAGATCATGTGCATTACTTCTCTATGCCTCCGTTTTATGAAATAGACGTGCAAAATATTTATTTATAATTTAAAGTACAAAAAAGAATTACGCTTCATTGATATGTAAAGAGAACTCTTGGCAGCCTTGTGCATAAACGCCTAAATGGTCCTGTTTTACATAAAATCCTGCCAGGGAAATAGTCAATCACAGTTTAGGATTTTTGGGGTGGCACCTTGGGTGGCCAATCAGCAAGGGGGGCCCAACCAACCCTCTGCACACAACTCTGACTCTGCCTCTTTTTTTCCACATTAGGTTGGACTTTTGAAAGATAATGCAGCGTTTCCAATTTATTTTGGCGTTCATTCTTTACACATTCTCACATCCTCTGTGCACCTCTTGGTTCATCCAATCACAAGTCTGTATTTCTATGCACCTCTTCATGTACACTGATTCTCACACAACTCTCTGCTCTCCATGTGTGATCTATAACGTTAATTCATCAGCAGCTGTGTTTGTCTGGACACAGGGTGCTAGGTGATATTAGCTGTGACTGATCAACACCACATGTGGATCCTAACCCTGGAGATTTACTGCCAGAGCCGAGCCATGCCAAAAAAACAGCCCTCAGATTTTAGTATTTTCCAGGATTCACGTTCCAAATGTCCCAAACCTTTTAAACCCCGTGTTATTTATGAAAAAGAAAAATCAGCTTCTCTAGTTCCAGCTGCATTCAGGAAAACAAGAATATTACATATCTATTTCTGAAGAGGGATTTTTTAAGCTCCAACACCAAACGTTCATCTTAGCTTCTTCCTCTGTGGTTGATCTTGTTGGCACGGCTCCAGTAATGTTCTCCACTCCCTGATGGTCCCCATGAGTAATCATCAGTCAGCACAATAGATCCAACAACACTAATTTGTGTCTTTCCTGTTTTGCCTTTACCCTTTCCCAGAGTTGACTCTGATTCATGCCTTCCTAGCTGGCACTGTGCACCTACCACCCTAACAAGGCTCTCTGTGGTCACACACTGCTGGGATACACAGGTTTCACAGGGAGCCCGCGGAGGAAGAGATTGATTGCTTCCTCCGTCGAGATTCCTTGGCCTTACTCAGACGGTACAAGGTAAAGCTCCATTGGAATTCCCCCGTATATGTTTCCTCCTCATGCAGAAGATGCCAGTAATGGTTAAGTGGTTTGTTCCCTGGGCTCCAGCATGACCTAAACTTACATGAACTCTGCATGTGTTTTTTAACCTTTAGAGCATTCAGGAAGGTACAGATTTAAGAGGGGGTGAGAGTCAGAGAGACTACTTTTTTTTTTTTTTTTTTGCAGTGAGAAGGATCTGCAAACATTTCCTAAAGACTTGGGATGTGAGCCTAATAGCACAAAGACAACATATCAAATGTTGGAACAAAGACATTTCATTGTGTTGGGACAATTGCATGGGTTATCTGCACAAACAAAGAAGATCCTTTGGATCTAAACGCTGCCCTTAATAAAGTCGCTCACTGGGAGCTGAACAGTGTGCAGACCTTTCTCTTTTTTTCTGCAGTTTTTACTTTTTTTGTCCTGCACCTGTATGCAATATACTTGGATGTGCACACTAGTCTTTTTCCTTTTTTCTTATTTTATCTGCAAAAATAGACAACTTCTTTTTCAGTTAAGGCCTTATTTCTTATTTCAGCGAGACAAAGTCAAACCATGGCAACAGCATGGCTCTGTTGTCAAAGGGTCTGGGTGTTAAACTGGCCATCCTGTCGTCCCGACCCGTCACTCATTGAAGATATTTGCCATGTTATGAAACGTAAAATAAGACAAAGGAGGCCCTGAACTGTTGAATAGCTGAAATCCTACATTAAGAAACAATGGTAAAACATTTCACTTTTTAAAAATGACAGAAACTGCTCTCCTCATTTCCTTAACGTTTACAGAGGGTTGTTAAAGGTCACATATTATCCTCCTCTTCAACCAGTTTAAAGTGATCGCTGATCCTGTATTTGATCATGTCTATAAACCCCTCCATTTCAGCCCTGCTCAGAACAGGCTGTTTCTGTGTCTGTATCTTTAAATATGTAAATGAGCTGTGTCTGACCACGCCCCGTCTCTGGGAGGTCTTGGGTGGCCCAGGCTTTCTCGCTCCATGTCCGATTGTTTACAGTGAGAAGGCAGACTCAGAGGGCAGAACAAACACCTAGCTGTGGGAGTGTCACCCACCTGGGGGAGGGGTTACTGCCCTTTGTGATGTCATGAAGGGAAAAAGACGACAGACTTTTCTCATAATTGGGGGGTTTTAGACAGACTAGAGACACATATTAGTGTTAGAAAACATGGTGAAGTGGATTTTGCATAATATGTGACTTTTTAAAAAAAGAGAGGTGATGCTAAAGGAGTGGTTAACATCTACTCTTTGTAAACGTTTTGCTGGCACCAAATTCAAAATGTGTAAAATATTTGACAAAGACAATTACATTTCTCATTGTAAACATCTGATATTCTGTCTTTGTGATATTTTTAAATTAAATATTGGGTTTCAATGTTTTGCAGTCATCACATTCTGTTTTTATTTACGTTTCTCACTCAATGTTTTAAGAGCTGAGGTTGGAGAATCTAAGCTCAGTTTACACAAATGACCCCTCATAATACATTTACATTCTGATTTGTTTCTAGGTTTTGATTTACCTAAATCTAAGCTTTCTGCACTTGACCAAATACAAATCCTCTGCACATTTCATGGAGCCTATTTTCTTAATTGCATGACGTTCCTCTAAACAGGTTCTTAATGGACTATACAGAGTATTATGGACATTACTGCTGGAAAAGGATGTTATCTTTGAACTGGGTCAGAGACAAACATCTCAAAGCTGGGTGAATAAATGCAAATCTATTGAAGATTTCGTGTAGAGGTCATTTACAATTAGAGAAATTACTTAACTGTGTTTTTTTTGTGACAAACTGCCTGGACCAAATAGTGACTTTAAACTTTGAAATATAGACTAATAAAAAATACTAGATATGACAACTACAACTCAACAACCAGAATACGTTCTGCATATCAGAAATGAAATCTTAGGTTATTCACAAACTATGCAAAAGCACATGAACCTTTAACAACTTGTAACAAACACAACAGTTCAGTTGATGGGAAACTAAAAGAGAGAGAGAGGCATGTCTATGTAAAAATAAATTTAATTTCAAAGTACATTACAACATGTATCTGAAAAATCAAACAAAGTAGTGTCCCACAGATAGCTCCTGTTGCTCACAGCAGCTCGAGTAGTGGTCTGTCCTCTCTCACATATCGTTCCTGAAGCTGCTCCGCACAGTCTGATTGTGAAGCACGCTTACAAAATCTTCCTAAGTGACAATCTCAAAGATCTCTGTTTCTTCTCTTCTGTGGGTTTCACAATTAATTATCTCTAGACATCATTTGCACCCCCCTCTTTAGGAACCATTCACATGCAGTGACGGCAGAGGAAACATCACACCTCTCCACACATACAGTCTTCAGATTTTTTTCCAAGGAATATCGCTCGTTATTCTGACAATGCAACAGCTTTTCCTCAGTGGATGCCAGGCACGGTCGACATTGTGTAAAACCATTTGATGACAATGAGGACCTTTGACATTATCACAAAACAATGCAAACTTTGGGCGAGTTAACCTCATCAGGTTCTTACTCAGCTAAGCGTGTGAGCCACCAAAGCAGCTCTGTGTCTCTGACAGAAGCTTTTATCAAGAAGTCATGCTAACTTTCAAGCAATCTCGGCCATTTTCAAATGATAGGATTTAACTGTAACTTTATAGATGAAACCAAAGAGATTGACTCGTGTGTAATAAAGACATATTTGATTTAAAACAATCTTTGATCTTTATAGATGAAGTTATTATCTTCTGTCAGTTCATGTATTGAAACATGAAGATATCCTTCCTTGCATTTGGAGTACTGGTTGTGTTGTTAAGCTAAGTTTATAGCATGATCCAAAACGATACTACTTACTTCCTGTTTAAAAAATAAAATGCCTAAATTCTTATCCAATGAGATAAAGGCAGAAAAAGGTTATAATTTTCTAATTTTTACAACATTCCCTTCTTCTTCACTTAGAGCGTTGTAACTGTACGTGCTGGTGTCATGCTGGTGAGATTTTGTGCCAGTCCTCCTCTTAGGTCTTGCTGCAGGTTAAAGGGACCGATGAGCCAAGCTCCCTGAAAACATCCGAGCACTCGTAAAAGTCTGTCATGGTGCAGAGATGCTCCTTGAGTCGGGGAATGATCGATGGAGGTCTGCTTTGAAGAGTAGAGCTCATCCCACTCCGAGTCACAGTTTCATCGCCGGCTTATCTGTCTCGCACCGCTCCCATGCATTTTGGGACAATCTCGCCTGTCATGTGAACTGTGTCTCCCCTGTGAACAAAGAGGGAAATAACCTTTAATGCAAACCTTCAACACTAGTAAGGAAACGCAAGTTCAGTTGTTTTCATTGACTGTCCTGAGAAAGGAGATACAGAAAGGAAATGACATAGTTTTCTGACATGAATAAAAAAAATACCGTTTTTCCTTTAAAGGATATCTCCATGCATGCACTGAATGATATGGCACCTATAAATAAACTAAATCCCAACACAGAGATATGAACGTCAGCGTGCACAGAGATCCGTGCAGTTTGTTAACCCCAGTGTGTCACACGACCTTCAGCTGAAGTGGAACGGACTCAGAACCATGTGATGCACTCTGAACTTTCAAAAAGTGTACGGCCTGAATCTGCTCTTTTTGTAAAGTGTCTTGTGGAAACGTTTGTTATGAATCGCCTCAATACAAATAAAAGTTGATTGACTGATTGATAGTCCAAGAGATGTACAAATAAAAACACACAGGACGTCTATGAGGCTGATTCTTCCATTAAATGAAATGTTCTGAAACCTTAAATTCTGATGTTAAAACAGCTTAAATACATATAGTAACCACTGCTTAAGAAATAGTCTAATCGCAAGGATGCATGTTCATTCTGATCTGTGACAGTAGAAGTGACCTGAGCTAGTTTGTTATCTGCTGTATTTTAAAAAAATGACTCACAAAATGAAATTGACTAATACGCCTACTCACTGATCTGCCCTGCTTCCTTGTTGCTGAACCTCATTCATGAATTTGCCAGTTTTACACTCATCCTTCTGCAGGAACACATTTTGTGATCAGTCCATAAGTTGCATAACTTTGAGGGTAATATTTGAAGTTTATTCGAAATTCGGCATGCATATTGTCCATGAAGTAGGCTATATTTGACCTAATTGGTTCCACAGTGATTATGCACACTTAGTTGAGTCTGTCACAGAAATGATGTTGCAGGGAATAACACAATTATACATTTGAACGGTATACGGAATAGAAGCCGTATTAGCAGTCGACTTTGAGGAATTTTAAAGACATTTTAAATAATAGTGTTTAAGTTTGAGGTTGGCCAAGAAATACACTGTAAGATAGAAGTTAACGATTTGGAAATGGAGTTTTGTGTGACAGCTCCCAGGGTGAAGAAAAATGTACTGACCCCTTTCCGTTGGTTGCTGAGGCAGAATGTGCAGATAGTCCGGGGCTTCTTGCCTTCTTTACGCCCCTTCACCTCCTTGTAGACCGCAGTGAGGCACGGCTGGCCGTCCTCCCTCCCGTCCCCGACCACCAGCACGTTCGCCAAGTGCGCGATGTAGCTGGACGCCAGGCGCAGCGTCTCGATTTTGGAGAGTTTTCTGTCCACCGGCTCCGTGGGGATGAGTGTCCGCAGAGCCGTGAAGGCCGTGTTCACGTTCTGGGTCCGGTATCTCTCCCGGGCGTTCGCGGCGTTCCTGTGCGGCACCACGACGCCGGACTCCAGCCGGTAACCCTCCGCCGGAGTCCCGCAGCAGCCGTAGCTCTGGTCGGTGCTGCCGTCGCTCTCGCTGCGGTTCCCCTCCTCGTCGTCGGATATCAAGGTCAGGTCAGCGGGGTAGGAGAAGGGATGTGTGGACACCGGCCTCAGCATAGTGAAAGCCATCATCACAAGGGGGAAAGTCACTCACTGTTATTTCCAATAAGAAAACAGAGCCGCGCGTAATAGTCGAGGTTACTCCAACCTATAAGCAAGCTGAAGTCCTCGGTTTGTTAAAGACTCTCCCCACAGGATGGACCAGTCAGTATGTTAGTCTTCATAGCAGGGAGGGCTCTTATAGCCACTACAGTAGCACCTCAGCTGTAAGGGGAGGGGTGGGCACACGCACGAGCTCCCATTCTCCCAAATGTTTTGCTCTTAAAAGTCACATTTGGGTATTGCAAAGTGTGGACACCTCAATTACCTTCACCAAAATGAGTTTTTATGAGCTGAGAGCAAACAGGCATAGCTCTATATGTGCAGTTCTTTATACAGCAACTTTTAGGAAATGATACATGGCTTCTTTATACATCTCTTGTCATGCAGGAAATGTATCTCTGAAGGCTTTAAAAGAAGAAGAATGCATGCACTGAGTGCCATTTTAGTGACTTTAATAATAATGATAATAAATTAGATTTATATAGCACTGTTCTATATACTGAAAGACGCTTTAATGTGCAGATTCTTACACAGAGACCAATTATTCACTGAATGATTTAACAACAAGAGGAATATCTTTAAGTAATGTTCTAAATTGACCGTTCAGATTCATCCTCAATAGTCAGTTTTATTTGAAGACTAATGCTGCCCAGACACATTTATTTAAATCACATTCGGGTGATTCAATCTTAGAAATGTATACGACATGCTATAATTCAACACCTCTGATAATAAGATCTCATCATCATCAGTGTTATCCATTGCATGCACTTGGAATAATCACTGTACAAAATATTGCCTGAGAGAACACGTTCATTTCAGTCTGCAGGGTTAGTCCCATGTGCTGAATCATCCATTGGATTTTCAAAAGAGGAGTGATGCTTGTTAGCCGACCGCTGATATGATTCTTACACATGCTCAGTGCTTCAAGCTCCCGAGCACCTGCAGTTGCTGAAGAGTGTCAGGTGAATGGTACATTAGAAACTCTATCCTTGGCATTATGCAACGATCGATTGAAACTGCTACAGATGACGTATGATTCATGTTTTGACCTCTGTTTGGTTGCCACTGACCTTTTCATTTTGCAGCTTAAGATAAAGCAGCTTTGTGAGTGCAGACTTTTTTTCTCACATATGAACTCTGAGCAATATTCAGAGAATCAGGTTGTATTATGCTGATTGGCCTTATGACACATGAAGCACGCAGGAGGAGGTTGTAGATGTTTAACACATATTCTGGTTCTGGTTACACTCTGTTCTGTTCCTGCAGGACGTGCATGCCTGATGTTAAATTTAGTCATGGATACACTTTGCATTAAACAATAAACTTTACTCTGTTTATCAAAAACTTCTGCTGCTTGTAAGTAAAGATGAGCTACTGGGCAATCACTTTGATGTCATATGAAGATTTACATTGATTTGATTTGGAGGAATGTAAAGCCCTGATTCAGCCTTCAAAACCGAATTATGGTTTTCTACATTTGGCAACAAAAAAAAGGCAAAAGGCTGCCGCCCCCCAAAAAGGTCAGACTACTCTCTCTTTAGGGTACACAAGACATACATGTAGATGCTGTTTAACGTCTATTTGATTTCCCCTAATAACTTTAAGACCCTTAAAGACTGAAGGGATTTCAGTCAAGTGAACCTAAAAAGAGGAAACTGAGTATTTGTGATGAGAGGTTAATAAAATGTAAAGAAGCGTTCAGACGGACTGAACCACCCAACAACAGGTAGAAAGTGAAGCAGCGTAGCGCCCAGTTTAACCAGTAACAATCTTTAATGGGAGCACATGGAGTGGTTACACTGCATGTCACATATTCCCAGTGTCACTTTTTTCATTCTGAGCTGCAACCCCTGCCTCTTCTCTGATGGATTACTAAATGAGTGTATTTAATTATAATAATGATAATAATAGATCAATAAGAGGGTCATTTCTCTGAATCAATAAATCATTTCATTTTTGATACTTCAAGAGCATCTAGCTGAAAATATTTTGATGTTGAATCCCAAACTATATCATCCACCAATATGTGACTCAACCTAATAATCCTGAGTGACGTCTTTCATTTGTCTTGCAGGAACATTGTTTTTCACATTGTTGAGAAGTTCTAAGGTAATGTTGCACCCTTGAAATGAACCGGTCAGAACTCGTTCATCTTCACTTTTAGCAACTTTTATTAAAGAAATGCCCCACAGCTTTACACAAGCTTTGTTTTTCAGCCTACACACACCTCTGTGTCTTCTTCACTGAGCCTCCCTTAAAGGGCCAGAGTCTTAATCTTAAAAGGTAGATAAAACACACAGTATTTACTGTTTATATCTTTGTTTTCTTTTTCTGATAATCTTAGAAATATAAATTATACTTATGGAAATTCAATTAGTTTAACTAGACACACTGATATAACAAAATGACAGAAAAAAAAATGCAAAATATGCAAAAGCATTTTCAGCGTGTTACACCAGCTAGAAAGTTTTAAAAAAGGACAAACTGCATTAAATATCACAATGTTTGTGTGACTTGTGGTCGTGCACCTTGCAGACTTTGTCACACAGATCAGCACTTTGGAATTTCCTCCTCTCAGATTTTGGACTTCCTTTCACAATCTGCATCAGTTTTTGCCAGAGTTTCTCCACATTTCTTCTTTGAGTCACTGAAACTGTCACGACCCCAAAAAAGTTGTGACTAATTCTCATCGTTCAAGAGAATCGAAGGGGATTCAAATATCGAGACGTTTTCATGTATTTCATTATGTAGAGACGTTATTGTTCACCACATGATCAGGCTGAGAACGTTTCTTTGAGACCGCAGGGACTGTGATGCTATGAGGATCTTTCCCAGTTTAAGATGCATGCACATAAACAAAGTGTATTATGTGTTCACTGTGCTGGCTCCTGTTCTCAGTGGGTCTTGTGTGTGATGCGTTACTCTGTGTTTGCCCTGTGTCAGTTTGTCTGACGGCTGAAGTGCTGTGGGTAAATAAACACTCAGCAGATGCTGGAGGTGATCAAGCCTGAACTTTCCCCGTGGAAAGAAAGCAAATGGCTTCCAGATTGAGCGTAGCTGGTGGAGGGAGGGAGGGAGGGAGGGAGTTGAGGGAGGGGCCGACTGCTGGAAAAGGGAGAGGGTGTCATCAAAGGGCCTGTTTTTACAAACACAACCCCTCGACACATCAAACCGGGGGCCCCGGCGGCCCCTGGACCCCAGCTCAGCTGCACCAACAACAGTGACCTGTGTGGACCCTGGTTCAGCTCATAAAGCGGGACACCATGGTGTTTTACCACGCGTGGCCAGCCAGCAACACGACCCCGCTGCACTCTCTCTCCCCCAGCACCGCCAGCGCTTCACAGTTTGGAACCGTAAATACTTTAACCCCCCCAACCCCTCGGCCCCTACATCAACCTTAAGGAATGCCACTAAATTCCTGATGAGGGGGGAATTACAGCCCTGATGGAGTGTGTTGACTAAATTGTGAATATCGTTGGATGATACTGCTAAAAAAAAGACTGTTCATGCAAGATCCTGAAAGATCGTTGGCGGCTTATGAATGTGTATGAATGTGATTATTTACTTCTGATGGTCACTTTAGCACCTCTACCATCAGTGTGTGAGTGTGTAGGTGTGACCTGCGGTGTAAAAACACTTTTGAGTAGTCAGAAGACTGGAAAAGAAATAGACAAGCTCAAGTCCATTTACCATTTATTTGAAAAATGTAATAATTGTACTCATACCATTTGCTTTCCAAAGTGTCAACCTGTCGACTTATACTTGCCAGTTTCCGACTAGTTTGCGTTCCTGCACATCTGCCTTGAGCTGCATGTTATCTTATTGATGCAATTTTGCAGAAAAATTACAAAATGATGAGCTACATGTATAATAAAAACAGAATAGTACAGTAGTATAAAATACATTGCACCAAATAATAAACTGTCTCCTGTCCTCCGTCCCATGTGATGTCATAGGACCATTACTTATTACTTATATAGTACTTACATATAAAGTACCCATGTAGAGTAGATGAAACCCTCTCAAATACTCAAACCACTCTGCCAGATTCTGCGCCGCTCTATCTAATGAAGCAGAATTACACAGAATAAACGGTAAAAGGCCGTTTGCAGCAGGCTGCAGCTGGCTGTTGGGAGGAGTCTCTTTTCTCCCCGGTGCAGCTGTTTCCGATGAGTCAAGTTATCTGAGCGCACGTTTTTCTCCCAGCAGACGGCTAACACTGACGGAGCGTGCACTCATCGTCTCGTCACTCCGTGCTGAACTGTAAGGGGGTGAAGGCGAGGGGAGCACACTGCCTCAAGTTGTTTTGATTTTATCTTGCATCTCAAGATCTGATATCTTCATCAACTCTTATATGTGTCATGGTTACAGGGCAAAACAAGTTTCAATTAATCAATCAATCATTATTTGTTTAGCGCCAATTCATTACACATGTTATCTCGAGACGCTTTAAAAAAGAGCATATGGGATAATATGCAGAAAGAACATTTTATTGAAAAAGACAATGCCATAAACATTTGGAGTTTTGCTAGAAATCAGAGGTCTTTATCGTTACACAATAATGTTGGTATTTCTGAGACAGAAAGCTCACACCTGAATGATCACCTGTGTTTTCTCCCAGGATGTGCTGACGTCTGTGTTACCTGGCTCGCAAAATCGCTGTGTCGATACTTTTCGATTGTGTGTTTCATGTGGTTTACATTCAACATCACTTTATGGACAAAGATTAACACATGCCAAAATATAATCCTCCTATAAATACAATAAAAATGACTTGTAGCGACCCCAGGAGACGGACTTTAGGTGGACTCGTTTGAACCTCTTTACTGTCAGTCTGTCTCTTGTTTGTTGGACGTGTTTCACTGTGTTATATCTAAACTGTGCTCACACTAGGCCAAGTTGAAAAACTACACTAATCTTATCCGCTGCATGTTTGGTCAATCTTCTCATCTAACTCTGTCAAAGAAAGTAGAGAAGTCTTTTTCCTACATTGTTGAACTAAACCTAAAGCATGGGAATAAATGTTGACTCCACTGTCTGTCGATGGAGACATTTAGGCCATCAGTAAACGCAGAAGCTGATGGTGCTTCTCATGCAGATCGAAGC